CGGTGGTCTCAACTCCTGGTTTACCGGCCGACTCTTCAGTGAGAAGCAAAGGAACCTTCGGTAAGTCACTGAAAATTCGAAAAGTTCAAGTCCCTAGCCGGGCTAGTTCTTGCTTTGTTTCAATCTGCTTTCAGTTCATTTTTACCGGTTATTGGATTTTCAGGTGTTCTCCTTCGAAACGCGGCGCGGATCTTTCACATCAGAATTAGACAGGATGTCGGCGGACTACGTTTTACCGTAAGTAATACCAATTGTGGGGTTCATCACATCCGCGCTGCGACAAGCGCGCCAAAAGAGGCGCCACCTGCGCGATTCTTGCAACAGAACCTGAGACTGAGCGCATCTAATTGTGAGTTGTAGAAGCTCAAACGTAGCCTAACTATCTCAGAGCTGGCATCACATCTAAATTCTAGAAGCAGTTCGTTTAGGTAGAAACATCAAATGGTTCTCTCAAGCCTGCACATGCCAACTCGTGAAGGGTTGTAATTTCTTGTAACCGAAGTGATTACTTGTGGAATTTCGAAGCTTCACTCAAGTTTACGAGTCTCACTAAAGTAGGACCTGTTAGCTAACATGAACCAGCAAATGGAACTAGTGGGAAAGCAGAATACCCCTTCCAAGTCGACAACGTCTTGTTTTCTTTTGTTGCCGATATTTTTCAAACCTCAGACTGTTTTTTTTCGAAATTTGTCCCCCGCGGTAGCTTGACTCCCCAGCAAGAGTATCGCATCCGTATACGCAAAGGCATGCTACTCTTGCTACACAGGCGTCACGTCTGAAACAGCTTCACCAAACTTCCTGCAAAGCTTGTCTCCACGATTAGTTCAGTGCCCAGAGTACGGATATCACATCCCGTTAGCACAAAACCTGGCGCCCTCACTGTAGGTGCCAACGTCAGAGCAGACCTGTAGAGTTGATATCCGTACTGAATAATCGTGTTCAAAGGGCCAAACTGCCTGGACAGAACCGTATGAATCTCTATCCAGGAGCATTTTTTTCGGGAAAAACGAGCACCGTTTTTGAAAAGTTAACAGTGAAGGATGAACCACGCCATTTTTCGCCCTGAATTCATAGCTTTCTGGTTTTTCGTATAAATTGATTGTTTTCTTCCTCCTTTTTTGGTTCGTTTTCTAATCTCGTCTGTTTCAGTGGGAGTTTCCTTATCATTCAATAACTGCTTTGTCCGTTTAGCGCCGCGAATCGTTCACCGGACTTTGTGAATCCGACTTTCGTCTCAACAGCAGGACCATGGTTCGACTACGTCGTAAACCAATACTCGGGGTAATTTTATTTATGATTAATAGTGGAATAATCGCAGTATCTCATTCTTCCAAAGCTCATAGTGGTTTTCGTTGAATCAACGCTCAGTTCCTACATCATTCGCTCTCTCTCTCTCTCTCTCTCTCTCTCTCTCTCTCTCTCTCTCCCGAGAGCCGGAGAGCCACTAGCGCCCAGAGTTTATTACTGACTGACGACGTTTAGGAACCCACCGTCGTATATTACTGAGAAAGGAGAACGGTACACTTCCGTACTACGGCACTCATGGATGTTCGACTGTAAGCAGACCGTAAACAGGGTAAGTATTACACTTATTAGGAACGATAATTTAAAAACATTGCAGCAGTTGTTCTCTTCATCATTTCACGCTTATTTACTGGTTATAACTGTTCTATGATCGATAAAACTAAGCAGCTTCTTTCTAGGCTCTTCGCGAAATCGTCGATCGTGTATTGGAACAAGTACGAAACGTGGATGCTGTGTATCCCGATCGTGTACAGATATTCGAACCAACTCCACGTCTAGTCGAACCGGCTCCTCCCAGCTCAACATCGTCGACGAATAGTACCACACAGAAGTCTAGTCGTGAACGACGATATGAAGCTGCTCCTCCTACCTTCCAGTATTGCATGAGCGTGAGTGCAGCGTTCTCGATGACTTATCAGCAGTAAGGTATTGGGGCAGATCTCCATGTTAGTATTTAATTCGAGGCATCTGTCAATCAGAGTTTCTCTCGCAGCAAGAGTCTTGCGGCAATAGCTCGTCACAACTTCAGACTGAGCCTCTGGAGGAAGCAAAAGGTGGAAGAGGGAGTGAGGGATTGAAGAGGAGTTTGAAGAGACAACCGAGCTCCCCAGTTGACAGATGCCAGTTGACAGTTGACACTCTGAAACACGTTAGCAAATGGTTTATAAACACGGTTCCTAAGTGAAGCGCTGGAGGGGGGGGGGGTGGAACGCGATTTGCGAATTTTTCGTCAGCAGGCGGGTGGCGGCAACGTGTCTGTGGAGTGTTGCCGGTTCTGGGGCAGAGACGTAGACGGTGTGATAAGAAGAGGGCGCAGACGGCTAGACGGCTTTGCCCTTTCTTCCCCGAACCACAACAGCTCTCAAATACAGTAATATCCCACCAAAGATAGGGCGAGTGGCACGGGGTAATGAGCGCCCGGGCCACGCAAGTAAATGGTATAGATGAAGCCTCCAAGTCACGCCTTTCAGAGCACCGGGGCCTCCTCGGCCAACACCTGCAGGAATCACACCCATAGAAACCGTGCGCTTACAAATTGCATACTGGATCACGTTCATTTCCTATAGAAATGTGTTCAGCAGACAGTATACCATGAGGTATTATTTTTAGGCCGACATATGGACGGGATCCCAGCGACTGTGAGATGCCAGATGCTCTGCTGGTCTGCCAGGAAATGCAGGTAGCTATCGAAACACAGCGATTCGGTTTCGAACCTGTGGGATCATGTCCTGAAACATTGCTCCGGCTGAATAATAGCGGTCAGTACCTCCCATCACACACACACACACACACATTCCATACACAACATAAGACACACACGCCACACAACACACACCCGCAGCACAGGCACATCTTCCCTGTCCCGTATCGCCATTTTCGAACCTGTAGCGGCGCGTTTAGTGTCGAAGGAACTGTTCTTGCCGTGCACCGAAGAGGGTCATTTTGTTCCACGCCGCCGTATTATGTACGGTACGGTATACGGAGAGAGACTCACGCTGTACTTTTACAATTTCATGCCATCGTTATCAGCATCATTGATGAATATGGTGGCCAGGTGAGATCTTTGTCTGTATATTAAGGTGGAGATGGGCGTATTTTGAGAGGGCTTTCTATGTGTCAGTTGTTCGCCGCAAAAGGTTATCTAAGGTGTATTTGCGGACTTCAAAAACGCATTGTGAAGGAGGTCAAGAAAAAAAACAAGTAATATCTTAAAAGCTGAAGATCAGTTGAAAGGTTTCACGATCGAACCATGTCAGTTGAGAGTGAGCTGCTTAGGGTTGAGTCTCAATTGATCTGTAGTGCAGTGCAATGCTCCGCAGCGCCACTGGCATTTGTCCACGGGATTATCCATGCGAAGCGATCTACTTCTTCGGTGTTTGGCAATTTGCCATTCATCGGAGCTGTGTGCGTCATTCTCCTGTAGAATGGACACTGGTCGCGATATAAGCGGCAATGTGCGTGTACCGCAGTATAGTAAATTATCTGTGGTTCCTTATGAAGTTGCCACAAGGTTTGGATGTTTGGAATCTGCACAACTGCTTTAGCGCCGGAGCCATCACGAGGGGCAAGACAGCTCGTGGGGTGAATCATTAGGATGCAACTTGTTTCCTAGGAGGAAATAAAGGTTTCGTAGCGTTTTTTTTTCTGTGGGTATGCTTGTTTATGATTACGAAAACTAATTTCATCACTGAGAGATTCTCCGGGTTGCTGACGTTTTCGACACTTTTTGCAAACTGTGTGCCCACCCCTAGCCCTAGTTGCCGGCGTAAGGATACCAGTTGATTGGCATGCCCTCGTTGCCCTGCGCTGACAGCAGTTTTTTTTTGGAGGGAGGAGAAGTGGGAGGACTGGAAAACTTTCGGAAAACTGGGGAAAGTGGTAGGAAGTTGGGAGAACTAAGCCAAATATTACAGTGTCACGCATTTCTGAATAAGCAAGCCTAGGAGTGCTAGAACTTGAGATAAGTACTATGTGGGCCCTTTGGACCATAAGAGCCCTAAAGATCGCCCATAGATAAGAGGCGGCCATAGATAACGAGCGATGTTGGTTCGTAGTAAAGATGAAATTGACGTTTGTATACGTTTTTTTTGGCGTTGTGTGCTCATGATTATCGCAATAATAGCCTACAACTCTACCTTTATTCTTACTGTTTTCTATACTCTTTCTATCCTGTATCAACGATTCCGGCAGAAATTCCGTTAAAATCGCTATTTTTCTATATGAATTGTTTATTAAGTGGGCGGGGTTTAGAGTTGAGGGGCGGAGCTTCTTCTAAACTTCTTCTCCGATTTTTATTTATCCATCCATCAAGTTAGAGGGGTGACTGCATTTCAATTTCATTCCAATTCATTTTTCACCGGTAAATTAAACCGCTCTTATCTATGGGATTTTAGGGTAATTCTACCGGATAGATGCTGCGACAGTTAAAGGATTTCAACAATGGTCTGTGCTGGAAAATAGTTTTGGTGGAACCTTTTCCTAATGCCCTTTGAGCCTGTTCTTCCTGGATAAGATAAGAGTAGAATATAAAAAATCTCTTATTATTGAGGCATCGGCTTTTTTCGCAGAAAAATATGAAGCGGCCTTTATCGTTAGTATTTCAAGGATATGGCCATGTAGAGATTGTGTCCATCAGTGAAGTTAAAGACGAAAATATGATTAATTTCATTTATCAAAAATTGCGCACGACTAATTGCGTTTTTTACAAAAAAATGCCAATATAAAGGAACAGAACTGTAGTCTTTCTGGTGAACAGTACTAGACTTACAAAGACGGAACATTGTCAACCTCAAAACAGGATCAAAAACAAACCGAGATTAGGCCTAAGGTTACTTAATAGACAACCGACAATTCGTCTAAGGTTAGATTAAAATTATAGAAACCACACTGTACAAACAGCGGCAGAACCAAAAAACGATTAGAACTTTAAATTTGGTTAGGTACAGTATCCAAGATCGTGAATACAGACTTCCGTGTAGCTGCTGCCGGGTTGCTGTAACATTTCACCGTTGCTGAGTAATGTTGCAAATCTGTCCTTTTATCCTACCGATATCAGGTGGTCACAACACGTACATAAATCCTACTTTGTGCGTTCTCTTCAGAAAACCGAAAATATTTCCTGGTGCGCTTTATGAATATTTTCTGGTGTGGTTCCGCTCTATGAAAGTTTGATGTTCTGTGATATTTGACGCTTACGCATCTACTCCTGCTATGATTAAAGCCCAGAGCGGTCTGAATTTTATCGTCATTTTGCGCTGGTAGTCATTTTATTGGATTAGATCGCTCTTAAAGACGAACTGTTCAGTCACCTTCGTGTATCCTGGTACTTGCCTTTTCGGAGGGAGGGGATGGGTCCGCAGCTGCAACAGTGTGCCACTTTCTAAAGTCACAGTGTAAGAAACGGGGCTGAAGGGTAGCGATACCGTGCCGTATCCCGACCCCGCCGGCGCTGCAGTATGGTCGACCACACACCTAATCATAGCCAAACGCGCTGCTTGTCTGCGCTCTCTTAGTTCTGCTTACTCTCTGCCACTGAACGCGTTTTTCGCTGCAGGACCTTTATATCGACACACATTACGTGTGCGTTGTGCGCATTACGGATAGCGTGCGCTTAGTAGGGAGGTAAGACCCGGTATCACGACGCTGTGGCCCCATTTTAGTGTACCTTTGAGCGGAGACGGGGCGAATTTATTCGGCATATGAACTCTCCTTGAAGGTGAGTGTATGCTTTGTCTTCAGCTACGATTCTGGATGGAAGTGGACTCCACGGCACGTGGCAAAGGGGACCGATTTGCGGTGTATGCTCTGTTTTCTGCGGCGCTGATAACTTTGGAAGCATTTGGCAGTAATTTTTTGGCGGGAGAGGGGGGGGCATTTGGAGGACCCCTTGTGCAGAACTGAGATTCACATTATCTGACTCACAATCAGAGTAATCGTTCTTAGAGTCACCTTATCCCATGACTCTTTCTCTTCTTCAGGCTTATGACAATTTCCTTTTCTCCATCATGGTAATTTCAGTTTTGCTCAAGTAGTTCGTTAGATGGCCCCTCCAAGGTAATGCTTGCCATTTTTCTGTTAATTTTCAATGCAGAAATGTAGGAAGTGCTTGGCTGTTAACGATACATGCACCGCTTTGCCATTTCAAACTTGCTCAGAGCAGCCAATAGTTAGATGAGGAACACTGCGATCTTACAACGGAGGTCTTTCAGGTCCTGACGCGCTTTTTGGAAATGGTTTGTTGCTTGTTGTAGGGGTCCATACAAGGATTTAAAATGGGTTTCATTTTTGCTATGCGTTTCTGGGGAGGTCAAAAACTGAGTGAAAAGAATTTGACAAGAATGGGCGATTTTAACTATCTTAATGGGCTCTGTTCTGACTTCGTGCATTGAGTGCTCGTTAATTAGGCCTCAAATAGTCTAAATAAAGTCAAAATGTAAGTATCATGTAGTAACACACTTGGCATGCACCGACGACAACAGTGATGTTTTTGTCGTCAGCGGTGACAGTGAGCATGAGGGGACCGCTGACAAAATACATCACTGTGCATGTCAAGTGTGTTACTACATGATACATACATTTTGACTTTATTTAGACTATTTGAATCCTAATTAACGACCACCTCATGCTCGAAGTTACAATCAGAACAGAGCCCATTAAGATAGTTAAAATCGCCCATTCTTGTCAAATTCTTTTCACTCAGTTTTGACCTCCCCAGAAACGCATAGCAAAAATGAAACCCATTTTTGTACTCCTACAACAAGCAACAAACCATTTCCAAAAAGCGCGCCACGACCTGAAAGACCTCCCTTGTTAGTGACAGTGCGATTAGGTGTAGGAATGAGGTCTAAACATTGGTGTATGCAAGTTTTCCATAGCGTCTGGACAACCGAATGGGTGTAGTGAATACAGTAACGATATGGAACCCCTGCATGCTTTG